GCATTCCTGGTCTTAAAGGGCCGAAGGGAGAAAATGGATTTGGGGTTCCAGGTCGCCCAGGGGAGAAAGGTCTGCCAGGGCCACAGGGGCTTCCAGGACGTGCAGGGATAGGAAGGCCTGGGGAAAGGGGGCTTCCAGGGCAGCCAGGTATTAAAGGGGACCAGGGTTTACCAGGCTTACAAGGACCAGTTGGCCTTCCAGGTCCCCAAGGCCCTCCTGGGAAACCCGGAGTACCCGGAAAAGGGCTCCCTGGCCCACACGGATCACCTGGCCTCCCAGGAACCCCTGGGGCAAAAGGACTTCCTGGCCCTCCAGGCTCAACTGGGCCCTCTGGTCTCCCCGGATTTGGAAAACCTGGATTGCCAGGGATGAAGGGAAGTAGGGGGCCTGAAGGACTCCCTGGTAGCCTAGGAGCCAAGGGAGAACAAGGCCCAGCTGGTACCCCTGGAGAACCTGGGTCAATAGGGCCACCTGGAGAAACAGGTCCTCGAGGGCTGAGAGGTGCCGCTGGTGTAAATGGCAAACCTGGGCTCAGAGGGGAAAGAGGCCCTGCAGGTCCATCAGGCTTCCCGGGTACTAAAGGAGAAAGAGGCTTGCCAGGATTGGAGGGCAGATCAGGGAAGCCAGGGGAGCCAGGACTTCCTGGCTCCAAAGGCTATCCAGGTATGGCAGGGTCTAAAGGAGATCCAGGCCCTGCTGGGCCACCTGGTTTACCTGGACCAATGGGGTCATCAGGACCTAAAGGTGCAGCAGGAGTCAGTGGTGGGCAAGGCCCTAGAGGATCACCTGGCATACCTGGTACAAGAGGACCAGTTGGTCCTCCAGGTATTCCAGGACTCCCTGGCAGCAAAGGGAGCGCAGGTGCACCAGGACTACCAGGTCCAGCTGGAATTTCATCCAAAGGTCCAGATGGCCCTATGGGACCACCTGGGCCACCCGGTTCCAAAGGCCACACTGGGGAGCCTGGATTGCCAGGCCCTCCAGGCCCCCCTGGTCCTCCTGGACAAGCAATCCTCCCACAGGGACAAGCCCTTGCAGGAGTGCCAGTTATGAAATCTGGGGCAATTCAAGGTCTCAGTGGCAGACCGGTGTCAGCTTTCACTGTCATTCTTTCCAAAGCTTACCCTGCATCTGCTGCTCCTATCAGATTTGATATCATTTTGTACAACAAGCAACAGCACTATGACTCCAGATCAGGCATCTTCACCTGCAGGATACCAGGGCTTTACTATTTCGCCTACCATGTTCATGTCAAAGGCACACATGTTTGGGTTGGTCTGTACAAAAATGGCTCACCCATCATGTACACATTTGATGAGTACAAGAAGGGATACCTTGATCAGGCTTCTGGCAGTGCTGTTATTGACCTCATGGAAAATGACCAAGTCTGGTTACAGCTGCCCAACAATGACACAAACGGCCTTTACTCATCAGAGTACGTCCATTCTTCTTTCTCAGGTTTCTTATTTGCACAAATGTAATATGCAGCAAAACAGAAAAATGCATCCAGGTATATGTGTATGTACTTCAACATATACAACAGAATTAGCCAAATTAAACCTGAATGCAACATTACATTTCTAAAGTACATAATGCATATGATTAAAAAAATTAAAAGGGAAAAAGAATTGTTCACAAGGTACAATCATACTGTACTGCAACACTGAGAAATGCATTTTATTTGCCCATGTAGGAAAAGCTAATTAAAACTGCCAAGATTATTTCTGAAAAAGGGCACGGCTGACTAAACCTCCTTTCATAGATGTGGAGAGCATAATGCCACCAATACAAATAAACAAATAAATGTGCAATACATAGCTTTATGAAAAACTGAACCAGAAAAGGCAAGAAATGCAGTATGTAATGTCAATCCTACCATTCTAAACATTTTCAATGAATTATTTGCATCAGAAAATGAATCCAGTTGGTTCAGTGGTACCCCAGATGAGCATCTAAGGTGGAAAGAAATGTCTGTCCAAATGTGTAAGTGCACAGACATTAGCTGCAAGCATGAAAGGCTGCTTCCATACGTAAGTCACTCTTGTTACCTAGTCATGGGTGATCATATGCACTGTAGATCTATTTAATACTGAATTGACAGCGTTATAATCCTCAGAAAATATTTCAAATTATTACCCTTTACAGAATGACATCTGTTTACATACAACATTCAGAGAATGATACCTTACAACTACATAAACTAAGAAAACCTTATTTTTCTTTTACTTTATGGTGCTTGTATAATGATTCATTACTAATTGTACCACTGGGCAACCAGTCCACATTTTGTTAATATTTCATCCCATACCAACTTCCTGATTCCAAACCGGTTTGTATAAAATCAAAATAAATGGCCTATACTGTATTCTTTCGAAAACAGCATTTTACAGTTTGTTCTAAAACCGTCTGTCCATTTTGGTTAAAAAAAACTTATAAATAAAAAGTGAAACATTTCTTTCAATTTCTCTGAACATTATTTAGTGAATGTTGCTATCAAAAGATAGCGTTATTATCCTAAGTGCTTACTTTGACAAAGTAAGCCTTCTAGGTTTAATTCTGCCAATGGTTTTTACTGCACTGTGGTGTTCTACTGTACATTACCCTGGGAATTCCTGGAGGAAAGGTTTAACATCTTTATAATACAAAGACCCTATCTATGTTTAGCCCTGTCCCTTGTTGCAATCCACAATACAATTCTATCATACTTGCTGTGGGGACTCAGCATTCCTTTGGTAAAACTTACATACCCATGCACCCCACCAAGTCTTAACGTCTACTTCACATATGTTGGGTATCCCCATTCCATATCAATGATGGCACTGAAACCACAGGATCCAAGACAACCCCCTTAAATCTTTTGAAAGGAACAGCTCTCAAACTACCCCTTTGTGCTACCCTAGGACACTATCTGCATTGCTGTGTGTCTCAGGATAGGCCTTAGACACAAATTAGGCATTCAGATACACATACAGGACCATTCAATCCTGTGCCAGATTCCCATATGTAAAGTAAGGGCAGGAGATAATCTACAAAGGAGTGAAAAAAAGTGGGAAAATGCGTAACAGTTTCATGCTGGCTAGTTTTTCACATGGCTCATTCTCTAATGCCTGCATTTCTTTCTCTCAGCCTACCACTTAAACCAAGTTTTCCAGTGTTAGCCTTGTGAGGTAGCCCAGACAAGAAGCACAACCAGGAGTACTAGCTCTATCTTTATTGCAAGGTTACATTAACAAAATCTTGCAAGTCTGAAAGTACCCCTCCCTTCATTCACTTTTACTCCCCCAAAAACTAGGGGAGTCCCTTCTGAGATGCTTTTGCCACCTCTCCTCCTTCGGACTCAAATTTCTCTTATCAGACCGTTGTCTAGGCTGTGGCTCTCCTTCCTGTCTCCCAAGGTTATTCCCACATACCATTACATCCAGTTATTTGCAGGTACGGGGAGGGTTGAGTAGTGTCATGCCCTAGGCACCCACAGAATCAAGAACTCCTGTATTTGGGTCTGACTTCCTATCTAAGGGCCCCTCCCACAGGGTAAGCCAAAAGCTCGGCTCCTTTACTGGCTGCAAAAGTTTCCAATAAAAAGTGTTGTTTACTGTAAGGTAAAACATTTTACTTATTGCAGCGGGGAAGAGGTTACAGAACTGCAGTTTGTACCTACACACTAGTTAGTCAAAAGGCTTTCTGAAGAATTAATCTGGGATTTGTGATAGTCCCACATACAGAAATCTATGCTATGATTCCAACTCAGTCCACATCAATATATTTGAATTGTGAAAATGCACGGCCAAGACCATCATGAAGGGCCAGTTGTGTTCTGACAGATACACAAAAAGCAGCTTCAACAAAGAAATAGCCCTTGAAAGACAAGGAAATCACTCACCTTTAAAAGCAGAAGTTTTATAATTATACTGTATGGCAGCAACCATATCCTTCCAGAAGTCATATTTTCTCCTAGGGCTGCGCTACAAGCATAAAAAGAATCCCCATTGGCTTTTTCAGTGTAAGCAGCTTTTCTAGCAAGCAATGAGAAAATAAGCTAGCGATCACAAGTGCGGCCTGAAATACAATGCAGCCATAGAGTGTTCTCCCATTCAGGATTCCAGCCAACCTTTTTTCCCTTTTCCAAGACACTCTACTCCATCACCCTGCTTCTGTTCTTCATCCCCCCCACCCCACAGTTGATTGAGCATGCTCAGTTATCAATGCAATGTTTGGGAATGCCTTCCTCTGATGCCCCTCAAGTTGCTCCCCTTAGTTTTGTCAGCATAACAACACATTTAAAGACTGACTTTGCTATTAATATGTAGGACTGGATTTACCCATGTGATGTAACAAAGTGACTGAATAAATTATGCCCTTTCATTATTGCATTATTGACTTGATTTTTTTTATATTTCTCTTCCTCTTGAACTACTGATTCCCCGTACGAAACAGACATTTTAGTATTAAAAAACAAAAGCAAAAAATGATTCATCACAGGAAGAGGATATCTTGTGCAAAACAGATTCATCACAGGCATCACGGCAGTACATAAATGATAGCGCCTGATCATTACAACAAATCTTATCTGTTTACAGATGAGTGTTTTGGGAAACTTTCTTCTTAATGATGCCTAACATGAGCATAAAAGCCTTGCTTTTCATATGGGTCTCTGGATGAAGCAACATTTGTACACCAACTCATAAGAAATGTGGAAGTCATTCTAAACAAAGGGATACATTTAATAAGTTTAGAGACCTCAGTCAAAAAATAAAAAAATCATTTCATGCTTGCCTGTTTGCCATGTCCCCCATAGGACACGCCTCCCCTTTTCAGACTTACATTTTTATCCATCTTTTCAGGTTTTTATACCAAAAAAAAAAAAAAAGGAATATCTTTGAAGCAAGAATGGCAAGTTACAGGTAGTCCCTGAGTTAAGAACGCCCAGTTTACAGATGACCCATAGTTAAGAACAGAGCCTATTGGAGCAAAATTTGAGTTAAATACACAATGGTTTGAGTTAATTACATACTACTACTAATACAGTATTATACAATAATACTGTTCTGGCTTACATACAAATTCGACTTTAGGATAGATCTTGGAATGGAAGTCGTTCTTAAACTGGGGACAACCTGCACTAGACCACATACAGTAATAAACACACTGAAAAAGAGTTTGCCTGCTCAGTCCATAAATCTTCAGAACAAGAGATTTATCAGGGCTGATCACAGAAATGATGTCTGAGTTTCAGGGACAAGCCAATAAGCAGAATCAGTGTTCCATCTAGAGGTAGGGCTTTCTGAAATGGAAACAGAGACAGGCATGGACAATATTTACCTCCCTAAGAAAAGAAATTAATTTCTTCAGAGTTCTGTAGATGTGTGTTTCAGTTCTAGCTAATTCCTATAGTCGCTGCCATATAACAAGGGTAAAGAATTTGATCCCCGAAATAATGTTCAAGCTTCATGTAATATGTGAGAAGAAAGAGGAATAGCACAAGGAACATTAACTGAAATGTATTTCCCTTGGGCTCCAGACCTGATTATTACTTACTTTGTCTAAGTCATCCACAATCCGTGCACAAAGAAGGGCCCCGGGCAGATCAAAGTAATTGTCATAGGCATAATATTTAGCTGTAAAGACAAGAAATGTAATGCCATATTAGATACTTAGTGGACAAACCAACATTTTATGAGGAAAGTTATTATTTACTATAATAATACTGGTGTCTGCAACCCTTGCATCTTGAACAGGATATTGCTCAAATAACATCAAGATGTTGGAGAATCATACAATTAGTGCTGCCCTCCAGACCATAACCCAAATATCACCAAAGGAAATCCAAAATTATGTAGGAATTCAGGGATATATCAATTTCCAGGAGCTAGGTGAGAGTGAAGCCTGGAAGTGCTGTTTGTCAGTGATGGGGCCGGCCTTCTAGAATGAACTCCCATTGAAGATTTGTCTGTCCTCAACACTGTCTGCCTTCCAGAGAAAGCTGAAAATGGAGCTTTTCTGAAGGGTAGTCTCCTCTTTTTAGAAAAAAAAACCTTACAACTTTATCCATCTCAGACTCTCCCACATATCAGAGCATCTCAGATTGTATACAAAGCAAACTTCAGCCTGACTTCTTTATCACCTTTGGGAATAAGCTCCCAATCTCCAACTTACAGTATATACTTCCTTCTAATTTTAGCCTTATAGGTAGTCTTTGGATATAAGCCTTTTACAGTGGATTTTAAATAGTCCACTAAGTCTTTGGAAAAGAAATGAAAACTTCCCAGTTTTAATACTGTGACACATTAATTATAGGAAAACCTGACATAAAATGTAAGATCCATAATTGGAATTGTAGCAATTTTTCTTTCTTTAGTTAAAAAACAGCTATAGTGGATTGCTCTAGCTGGATTAGGGCGACAGCATTGGAATCTCTCCTCTCCTCCTCCTCCTCTCCTTTCCTCTCCTCTCCTCCCATAGCTATTTCTTTATCATACCCCCACTCCCCAACCCACAGTTTGTCCTGCCTAAAGCCTCTGAATGTACAAAAGTCACAGATACAGGCCAGGTGAGTGGATACAATATGGAAGCATCAACCTGTTATATGGGCTGTGTCCATGCACGCAATACCTGAACGAGAAACCATTCCACTCATTGTCTTAAAGTGTTTCCACTCCCTCCTTCCATACTTCTCCAAGATCTCTCCAGAGGTCATATGTTTTGTACCATGACTTGCCCTGTTTGGGGGAAGAATCAGATATGAATGTTATTATATTTTATATTCTTTTATTTCTCTTTTCCAACATTATAATAGAATTCTCTAAATGCTAAAAATAAAAAAAGGATTAATTACACATTAAAATTAATCACCTATAAAGTAAGGTGAACCAATTTATAAAATCTGCATATAGCAACCGTTCTTTCCTTCTCAAGCAAAAGCTATTCTCACTCATAGAAACACAGGTCTAGATATACCCTTTCTCCTTCCAGTAGTAGTAGCAGAGAAGAAGGGAAAAAAATAGGACGGGGGTGGATAAGAGATCATTGAACTGGGAAAGGAAGGGAAGAGTATCAGGGATTGGAGATGAGCTGATGGGAAGAGGAAACTGAATAAGGAAGGAAAGAAAAGTAAGGGGCTTTATTTAGGAATTTTGAAAGGCGTAACTATTTTAGGCAAAGTAAACTTCCCAAGAAATGGCTGATCTTCACAGACATCCATAACCTTCAGCAGTGATGTCTGCCATCATCTGCATCTCATATCACTCTTTGCTTTCAATGGTAACTTCTGTTATTTTGATAATTGTTTTGTGGTGGGTGGGGAAAATTTATCTTTCTATCTATAGAACAGAAAATGCCATTAAGAATTCAGATTCAAGGGTGAAAGTATAAATATCGAAGGAATAATGCCTAACAGTTCATATATGGCTTCAGTGAATAAAAACAAAGACAAAGCTGTTCATACTGCATTTGCATGACATAACATAACATAAATGTCATTGTCCTAGCCCTTAATTGTTCCAAAATATTTAGCATAATTGCAGACAGGGAAATAAAGCTATCAAACATGAAGATTTCTCTACTAGCAAATGTTACCACAGTTCAAGTGCAGGCTTCTAGGGGTATATGGGCGAAAAGTAAACTCCATCAAAATGTACCATTTATAAGAAAACACCAAATAAAAATGTGTGCATATGCCCACATGCTACACACAGAAGTGTCATTAATTTATTTATTAATCAGACGTACAGAGCTGTCCAACTCAATTGACTCTGGGCTGCTTACAATGAAAATAATAATAATAATAATAATAATAATAATAATAATAATCCCCAATAAGATGGCATGACCTGATAGAACTAACAGAAACCAAAAAATAACAAGGCCTGATAATAAAAAACAACCAAAGAAAACCACTTCCATCCTAGAGCCTGGGGAAAGAGCCAAGGAGGGCAGGGTTAGGGCAACACGAACCTCAGGGGCGAGGGAGACTATCCCAAAGGGCAGGCACTATTTATTTATTTAATTTATATATCTGCCCATCTCATATCTGTGCCTATGGGTGGCTTACAAAGTTACAAACACTTATAACTTACAAACCCTTAAAACTGACAAACACAAAATAATACAACAAAATAACCCCCCCCAAAATGACAACAAAAACCATTAAAAAAATTAAAAACAATAAAAAACATGAAAAAAATCTATAATCTTCAGGAGAGGACACTCAATTTCCCTAGTAATAAAGCCACTTTGCAGGTTCCATACCCATATTACTGGATCCCCAGGCCAGATGGCAAAGCCATGTTTCCAGGCCAGCAAGGTTGGGGCTACTTTGACCTTAGGGGAAACGAGGTTCCAAAGGGTGGGTGCGATGGCAGAAAAGGCCCTCCTCCTGGGCCCTGTCAGGTGACATTACTTTGTGGACGGGACCTGCAACATGCCCTTTCTGCTGGACCTGATGGGATGGGTAGATGTGATTGGGGAGAGGAGGTCCCTCAAATAACCCAGCCCCATGCTATGTAGGGCTTTATAGGTCATTACCAGCACCTTGAATTGAATCTGGAAGCAAACTGTTAACCAATGCAGCTCACAGAGCAAAGGTGCAATGTGTGCTGCTTTGGTGTACACATAACTGCCCGTGGTGCTGCATCTTGTACCAGCTGAAGCTTCTGGAAGCTTTTCAAGCGCAGCCCCAAGTACGGCATGTTACAGTAATCCATGCAAGATTACTCAGGGCATGAATGACACTGAGTGTAGGGCCTCCTGGGCCAGGACTGGGCATAACTGGTGCACAATCCAAAGCTGTGCAAAGGCCCTCCTAGCCACAACTGCCACCTGCTAATCGAGCAGGAGTCATGAATCCAGAAGGACTGGGCTCTGGGTCTGTCTGGGGCAGTGCCACCCCATCCAGAACTAAAGAAGGTAAATTTCCAGATCCTGGTGGTCCCAAAATGAAAAGCCACTCAGCCTTGCCAGGATTGAGCTGAAGCTCCTTACCTGGGACTCCTCCTGCTTCCTGCTTAATGGCCCGTGCATCTTGGGGTTATGACAACAATTGGGACTGCCAGGATTGTTGTCGCTAAGCAACGTGGTCACAACCCATGCTTTACGACCACATTGCTTAGTAATGGCAATCCCAGTCCCAATTGCCATCATAACCTGAGGACTACATGTATTAGAAGTAAATCCTTATTATGATCAGTTAATTGGGAGATCTGTTTGACTATACACATAGCCAGTGCTCAAGGCAGTCTTCCCCAACTGGTGCCCTCCAGATTTTGCCCTCCAAAATTACAAATACTAGAATCCAAACATGACTGATATGAGGTGGAAATTCCAGGCCTGTGGCTTCAACACATCTGGAAAACATCAAACTGGAAATGATGACTTAATGGAAGGAGGGGAATGATATGATTGTACTTTGAAAACAAACATTGTGAGAGTTAATAAATTATAATAACATACATTTTTATATGGAATGTGTTACCTCAAAATGGTTCCATCCTCTGCAAGTTTAAGAAAGTTCCCCTCTTCCAGGTCCAGCACCAACCCCTTACAGCTGTATGAGTTCAGGTTCGTCAGTGGAAGAGGAAAAAGATGTGCATTATGAGTGAGCTTCAAAATATACAGAGATGCTGTAAACTATGCTACAGACTGTGGTCTTAAATGCCACGGGGGAAGTAGAGATAATCAGGGCTCTTAGTATTAGACGAAAGCCTGGGAGTTCAGCGCAACCTGCACAATGTGGGAAAATGATATTAATCCATAGTCTAGCTTCCTAATCAACACCATCAAGAAACTGGATATGTTGGAAGATTTATGGACAGGCCAAAGGAAACCTATGGCCTTTGGTCTAATTACAAAATCTCTTTGCAAGCCATCAATTTAGACCTCTGCCAAAACTGATGCATCCCTTTCATGGCAGTCTGCTGTGTGCCACTATCACCCCCCCCCCTTCCTTTTGTACAACTCAAGGCAGTATACATAATGCTTCCACCTCCAATCTTCCACACAACAACAATCCTGTGAGGTGGGTTGGCCTGAGAGAGTGTGACTGACCCAAAGTCACCATCTGGCTTTCATGCTAAGGGAGGACTACAAATTCACGGCCTCCCGATTGCTTGCCCAACACCTTAATCACTCCACCAAACTGTGTGGAGGGTAGATAAAAATAAAGTGTCAGGTAGAGAAAGAAAAGGATGATTGACTAGAACACCCTCCAATCCACTCTACTCCTATAACAAAGCAATGAAAAGAAGGGGTGCTCACACCTCATTTAAAGGTTGCAGAGAAAGGCTTGCTTATTTATTGTAATGCAGGCAGAGGCTGACGGGGAAAAAAATCCCAGCTCCTCAACCAAAGGATGGGATGAGAATCTGTGGATGTTGGAAATCCATCATACTTGATGTATCAACAGTATTGCACAATCAAGGAAACAAAGGCACTCTTGCACCCAGGAGTCAGGATAAACGTTGGGTAGAGAAAATAGGGAAGCAGGATATAGCCCCCCAACATTAGTATCTACAGCTGCAGTCCTACATGCTCTTACCTTGGAATAAATCTTATCAAATTTAATTGGGTATACTTGCTTCTGAGACACTGCTCAGTTGATAACACTTAAATATAGGCAGCCTCCTGTTCCAGAAGCAACTTACAAGCAGAAACAGAAGGTAATGATAATAATAAAAATCACTCACCAGAAATCCCAGTTTTCAGGGATCACATCCAGTAGTTCCTTATCATATCCTCTTTCTTTCACCATGTATTGAGCAAAGCTGTCATATATAAGCTACAAATTAAGAAAAAAGTTTAATGCTATGTAAAAAAAAATATACTGAGATGCTATTGCTTCACATTTCAGGATCAACCTTACTAGCAACAGAAGCGTTCTGTATGTAAAAACTTCAGCATTGTATATGAGCTCTTAATGGTCTGATTCTTTAGCAAAAAGTTAGGCTTTAAGATGGTAGCATGTTCAGAAATGTCAGGGTTTTACCTTCAGAGTGTTCTGATCCTAATAGCACCTGAAATCAGTTCACAATTTAAAATATATACACGTTGTTGTTCAGTCGTTAAGTCATGTCCAACTCGTGACCCCATGAACCATATTGCACCAGGCCTTCCTGTCCTTCACTGCCTGAGTTTGCTCAGTTTCATGCTCATTGCTTCAGTGATGCTACATACACATAGCATCACAGAGATATATACACATACAACTGGTTAAACTACATGGCCCAGGGTGGGGGTACTGACAGGGCTCATTAAATAACCATGAACATAATTTCCATGCATTTGCTACAGTGGTTTTAACAGACAGACCTGGGAGCCCTATTTTAAGTAAAAAGTGGGATATAAATATTTGTATTATTTGTGTTATGAACAAAAAGTGTACACGTTTTTCTTTCCATTGGCTACAAACCTGCTTATAAATCTGCTTGTTTTACCATACCAACACATTCCAAATGCATGTGTACTGTATGCAAAAGCAAGCCTAACCTGGGTGTAAGCATGCATAAAATCCAGGGACTGACTTAAGAATTATGTCATCACCTAAAAGCACTGTAGGAATTAGAATTCAGAAGTTCTTACAGAATGGGATCTCTGAAAAGGGAACTCTCAGCATTATTTTTCCAGAGTTCCTCTCTTTGGAAGTCATGAAAATTGAACTGCCAGAAGAAAAATATTATTAGTATACTAGTGGAAGGGCAGATTTTATTCTAGTTATACATTTATTAGGTGTTGGTATGGAGCAGTTTCTTCATGTAGTTGTGTTTGAGCAGCACACAGGTGATGGTGCTCTAACTTTCATCAGAATCTAAGATCTCCTGAACCTCTGCCATTCCTGCAATCTGCAGGAAAAAAACTACCCATGTTTAGTCCCTACCTAAGAAGAGAAGTGGGGTTGAAAAACAATGCAGAGACACATTTGCGCACTGCATGATGAAAGATGCAGTTCAGCTTGTCTAGAAGTCGATGTACTGATTTAGGGAAAAAGGAGAGAGACAGAAAAACAGACAAGGTATCCCATCTACTGAATAAAAAATATTTACCAAAATTTTATATACAAAACATTGCTACGCTTGCAGTATGTTTTCACCTAGTATTTGAATGTCCTTGAATTAAAAACAAAATCAATTATCCTAAATAAATTAGAAAAAGTTAAAACTACCGAGATATACAACCTCAAATCAAGTTACAGTATTAACACTCACAAACCAGTTTGGAAACACAGAGGTAAATTGGTAGGAGGCACAAAGGCTGTCAGCTAATGCTGTCCTGGGAGTAAATGCCAACAGCTATAATGCAACTTCCGACGGAACACAGATTTCGAAAGACGAATATCAAAAGCCTACGCCTCTGCATTGGCAACAACAAAATCCCACTGACTTCAGCAGGAGTTACTGCTTGGTGAAAGAATACAGGCTTGTAATATAGCACAACCTTAGGCGTTCCGAAGTTAAGCCCGCTGCTTTTTCACACAGTACAGTTTAACTCCGGATACGTGCATGCTGGCCGAAATACAGCCTAGCGGGGGCTCCATCCCCAAATTACTGGCCTCCTCGAAAGGCCCGTTCAGGCCAGACAAAACTCAGGCGCCCCTTTCCGCTTCCTTGAGTAGCGGTAGTCGGTCCCCGTCCTCGGCTGCGGGCTTTCCTGCAGCCGCGCAAGAAGACGTCAGAGCGCCGCTTGCAGCGGAGGGGTACGCGCAGTGCAAACCTGAGGCTGGGCCACGCTCGCTAAGATCAGGATCCTCCCCCTCCTACCCCGGAGCGGCCACCCAACCAGTCCGAGGATTGCTCTGCGAAGCTCGCCAGCCAGGCGATCGTCGTAGGCGCTTTTCCCCGGGGCTGTTTCTCAACAGCACTGCGCTGGGCTGCGGCGGCCATTCAAACAGCCCAGCCGGAACCAGCCCGGGCGGCCTTTCCTCCAGCTGCGCCACTCACCCGGGCGCTCTCCACCAGGTTGTAGCGGCATAGCGTGTGGTCCAGATCGAAGCCGATCACTTCACAGTCGGCCAGCGAGAAGAACTGGGCCATGGCGGCGGCGGCGAACCAGCAAGCGCGCGGCTTCCTTTCGGTGTTTCGCGAGGAAACTGCAGCTCGGCTGTGCGTGTAAACTGCTGGTGCGACGGCAGCTGCCGTTTCCTGCAGAGGCTGAGCCTTTTGGCCTGCTTTGCTTCACCTTTCCTTTCCAGCAGGGCTTGGGCTAGAGAACTGGCTGTGGCACTAAAAGTCAGAGTCCATTTGATCTCTACTTCTAACTAGCACGAACTCCGCGGGTTGTAGGAGAGAAAGTAGCGGAGGACTCGAGTGTAACGCCGGTCAGGGTTTCAGTCGGACGCAGAACAGCGTTTAAATGCTCATTGCTGAAGCACATGGTGTCGGTATGGCAAGATGTGTAGCCCTCTTCCATGCAGAAAGGTGAAACTATTTGCTTTGGGTGTTTAAGACAGGGTTGACCTGAAAGCAGTTTGAGTCTATCACTCTTGCTCTGTGATTTGCATATTTACTGGACAGTTATCATCTGGATCTATAGAATTTCAGAGTCTTGACAGTATTCATGATTGACCTTACAGATAAGCGATGCCTCATATATTTCCACTTCAGAATAGTTTAAAATTGGAACAAGAGCACTGGAGCCTGGCTTGTTGCTATCTGCCAGATTGATCCAAATTGCCCATGGGTGTCTTGTTCATATTAGCAACCGAAATTTAGAAGTGCGCTATCATCCAACAGTAATAAAAATGAGGATGTACGCTTAAAATAAAAATTTCCAGTCTTAACATTTTTCTTCTAGAAGAGAATATACGTAGCTCAGGGTTGCACTGTGGAGTCCTTGGGGTTCTCTCTGAGCTTGGCTGTTTTCTTCCAGATGTTTCATTACCTGGCTAGGTAGCATCTTCAGTGCTGCACTTCAGCTTCAGCACTGAAGATGTTACCTAGCCGGGTAACAAAAAGTTTGCAAGAAAACAACCAAGCTCGGAGAACCCCAAGGACTCCACATTTTTCTTCTGCTAGCTGTCTTGGGTGTTTAATAAATATATTTATCTAGTGCAAGTAGAAAATTCAAAATAGATTTATTTACAAATATTTATATGCCACCTACTCATATGACTAAGTGGCTTACAATATATAAAATATATTCACAATTCACAGTACAAAATTAAACACTGTTAATAAAAGCTACTCCTACCACCAATAAGATCTTATTGTCTAAATGCCCTCTAAAAATAGATTGCCTTTACCATGTTTCTGAAGGACAGAAGGATGGGAGCACACAGATTTCAGGAAGATTATGTTCCAGAGAGGGGGCTGCCAGTAAGAATGTTATTCTCTGGGTCCCAGCCCCACAACCTAATCTCTTGGGCACCCAAAGCATTCTCTCTCTGCTAAACCATGTAATTTAGGCAGATTTTACCTAAAGAAGATGACCTGGAAGTAACGTTGGCCGCCAGTACCTTGAATGGGCCCAGAATCTATTGGTAAGCAATGCAGCTGCTGTAGGAGAGACACTGGGCTGAAGCAGCTAACGTTGGTCAGTAGGCAGGCAGCTGCATTCTGTGCCAGCTGCAGCTTTCAAGTTGTCTTCAAGGGCAACCGCACGTACAGTGAAGTTGACAGAACATGCAAGCAAGATGTGCTGCTTGTAGTTGGAGACTGAAATGCTAAAGTTGGAAATAATAAACAGAAAAATGTAGCTGGACTGTATGGTCTAGGGAACAGAGATGAAGTAGAATAATTTTATTTTGTTTATTTATTTATTAAATTTCTCCCCTACCCATCTCCCCCCAATGGGGGAACTCTGGGTGACTCACACAGAACATTAAAACCATAAATATACATAAATACATAAAACATTGATTTAAAAACATTACTAAAAAAGGGAAAGAAGAGTCCAAGAAGATGAAAAATCT